CAGCCCCAGCCCCCCCTCCTGCTCAGCCCCCTTCTGTGGCATCCCGCACATGCAGCCGGGCGCGACAAGGCCGCCAGAGCCAAAGCAGCAGGAGCTCGGCCTCCAGGCAGCCCCCTCAGCCCTGAGCCTCTCTCCCCCCTTCCAAGTTCACATTCCCCCTTCCCACCAGTGACACAAACTGAGGGACGCATTTTTTTTAAGCACTTTATTTTCTAAAACAAACATGTTTATTTTATTTTTTCTCTGAATCCAAGAGTTATTTATTTTCATTTGTTAAACAAAACAGTTAAATAAAGTATACTCTATTTTTCACCATCACCTGTCTCCATTCTCAGAACAGTCGGGAATTTGCGAGAATAAGTCAGGCAGGTCTTTCCAGAGCCAATTAAGACAGTCTGATTAGCACACCTGGAGCCAAGTAAGAACCAGATAGTACTGGTTAAAAAATCTTCCCTTCTGTTAGATCATTGCGTGCAAGGAACCGGGTTAAGAAGGCACTATGGAAGGTTCAACCCTATCAGGAACCAAGAGAAAGGACTTGTCCTAAGGAAGGTGCTGGAAACAGCTGTTGGAAGTGGCTCAGAGAATTGTAACTTTCATGCTGCGGATACAGAGGACATTACAAACAGGTGCTATGACAGGGTCCTGGGCTGGAAGCCAGATTACAGAGTGGGCCCAAGTGCCTCCCATTCTCCAATTTCCTGCTCTACACGGGAGAGTTGATCCAGACTGCGTATCACATCACAGCGGAAGGACTAATTTGGGGAAGTCTGACATGTCCCTGAACCACTCAGTGGGGCAACAGAGACTGTGGGGTTTGGTCTCCTCTCTTTTTCCCATGCTGGCCAAACATGAGGGTGGCTAAATACATGGCAAGTTTGTGCCTTTAGGGCAAGTGTCTAAACCAAGGCCTGCTCTGGGGTGACCAGTCCCTCTGAAAGCAAAGGACCCAAAAAGGCAGAGAAGGAGCTTTGTCACAGTTATATATACATTCATCTCCATCCACAGTTGCTATTGCTTGGATAGGCTGACAAGTATATTATAAAATCCAGATCGAACAGTTAGATTCTTTGGATCTAACTTTAATTCTGATGTCTGAAGATTTACATTATCTGAAGGGAAATCCAAAATTTGTCTTCTGCATGAGCACCAACACCCTTGCCACTGTGACACCAGGTTTCTTTTCTTTTATATAACTGACGAAGTCTGCTTCACTATATCGTGCTTTCTATAACATTTCATTCATGGTTGGAGGAAGCCGGTTGCCTGGTTTGTATTTGCACACAATGTAGTTGGAATTGCTTATTCTGCGGCAAGTACCATTTTTCCCATCATTCTTAGTTGCTTCTTTGCTGGTTCTGCAGGGTCATCCCCAACATCTCAGAATGCCACGCTGCCTTCATCGAGTGCCTGGCCGCTTAGTGCCTCCGGCTACAATAGCTCTTTCAGCAGCATTGCATCCACACCTAGCATTGCAGGTACGAGAAATGGCCTTTCTACTTTCTGCATCCCTCTCCACACCCAAAGAGCAAAGACCTCAAAAAAGTGCTTTCCACTGGTTGTTACAGTAATTGATATCTTTTGGGCAGTGTGCTACTCCCACTGGAAGTTCTGCAGTGTTAAGCATTTTAACCAGGTGACTAGAGCAGTGGATATCTGACAAGTGCACTAATAAAAACCATATTCAGCCCACTTCATGTCATGATGCTACATTTCTTTTGGCATTCATACTTTTGAGCAAAAATAAACTTTGTTGAAACTGAGAGAGAATTTTCTCTGCAAGATATCAGTGGTAACATTGCTGGATCTTACCACGAAAGGTTGATCTGGAAGCTATTGCTAGTAAATTCAGTTTTAATTCTGAACCGTTTTCAGGCCCTATTGATACATAGGAAATAGTACAGAAGTAGCTCAAGGAGCTATTTTAATTTTTTTTAATTAGAAAGCTAAATAGGAATAAGTTTGGGTATGTCTAGACTACAGCAGTAATTCGAACTAACTTAATTCGAATTAGTTAAATTGAAATAAGATAATTCGAATTAGTGCATCTAGACCTAAAAACTAATTTGAATTAGTGTTTTGCTAATTCGAAATAGCATGTCCACATTGAGTGGACCCTGAACTGAAGTTAAGGCTGGCCGGAACCAGTGCCAGCAGGGCATCAGGTTAGGGCTTAGATTGTGGAGCTGCTGCCTCAGGCTAGCCAAGGGCTGTGCTTAAAGGGACCCGACCCCCACCCCGGACAGACAGTTCTCAGGGTTCCCCACTTGCTTGTCTAACTCAATGAGGGACAGTAAAGCAGCCCTGTCTTGGAGTGCCCTGAGTGCCCACACTCGGCACATCACAGCACTCGGCCATCAGCCTGGCTGCACTTGCCACAGGCTGCCATCTGGTGGGGTCAATCAAGGGACTGTCAGGATCCAGGAGGCCCTGCACGAGAGCTTCCACCCCGAGGAGCCCACAGAGCCACCTCAGTCCTCCCCATCGGGGGCTCGTTCCCCATTTCTCCCTCACTTCCTTCCACTTACCTCTCCCTAACCCCCCTTCCTGATGTAAAAAATAAAGGACATGTGTGTTCAAAAATAGAAACTCTCTGTATTTAACAAAACGGGAGGCGGGGGAGATTAACCTCTGGGGAGACTGGGAAAAGGAGGTGGGAGAGGGGAGGAGAGAGGATGGAAGAGGGGAGGAGGAAACCTGGGAGGAGGGAGCTGGAAGGGGCAAGCCAGGGGGAAAAGGAGGGGAAGTATAAAACTATGGTACGCCATATCTTCAGTACTGTGTACAGATATGGTTTCCTCACCTCAAAAAAGATATTTTGGCCTTGGAAAGGGTTCAGAAAAGTGCAACTAAAATGATTAGGGGTTTGGAATGGGTCCCATATGAAGAGAGACTAAAGAGACTGGGACTTTTCAGTGTAGAAAAGAGGAGACTGAGTGGGGATATGATAAAGGTCTATAAAATCATGAGTGGTGTGGAGAGGGTGCATAAAGAAAAGTTCTTCATTAGTTCCCATAATATAAGGACTAGAGGACACCAAATGAAATGAATGGGTAGCAGGCTTAAAACTAAAAGAAGAAAGTTCTTCTTCACACAAAGTTCTTCTTATAGTCAACCTGTGGAACTCCTTGCCACAGGAGGCTGTGAAGCCTAGAACTATAACAGAGTTTAAAGAGAAGTTAGATAAATTCATGGAGGTTGGGTCCGTGGAGTGCTATTAGCCAGGGGGTAGGAATGGTGTCCCTGGCCTCTGTTTGTGGAAGGCTGAAGATGGATGGCACGAGACAAATTGCTTGGTCATTGTCTTCGGTCCATCCCCTCTGGGGTACCTGGTGTTGGCCGCTGTCGGCAGACAGGCTACTGGACTAGATGGACCTTTGGTCTGACCCAGTACGGCCATTCTAAGCTCAGGGCTCAGGGTCGGGGGTCTCAGTGAAACACCTTGATTTTCATGCAAACCTGCTCCTGGGTGGCCAGGCTGGCAGCT